ATTTACTGCACAGCTATATTTTGAATTATTCATCCATCTATCTATCTATCTATCAAATCGCACATTTTACGTGGCATCTGAATTATACTGTAATTGACTCCAATTACATGACTGGATTCCGGGATTCCCTCTGCATCACAGAAATAATACGGCTTTAAGTTATAAATGGAACTTACCTTTATCTTCACGGAGGGATGGTGTTCGTGAATATGGGAGAACATGTTCGACGTATTTCCTCCTTTTGCAGCCACTCTTCGTCCACATTTCTTGCAAACTGGATATCCACCCACGATCATTTTTCGGATACCCAAAATATTCCCATACTGCAGATTTTAATTTTTTTTGGCGGGAAATATACATTTGAATTTGCAGCCTCTGTATCGAACATTTTCGCCGCTGTGCAGGTATGGGTGGAGTCTAAGCAGTCAAGCGGAAAGAAGTTTCTTTTTTTTTTTCCAAAACCGCGGATAGGCAAATGTACATGATATGATAATCGTACATGTCAATATCACAATAAACCGCCATACCGGTATACTGTTACAACCCTAACTACTACCATCGCTTAATGTATTATCCCGTTTCTCCTAATTTCACAGTCTAACGAGAACTGACTAACAAAACAAATTTAACATACAAGATACACAACAACGAACGCAGAATACAGAGAATCTGCCTGCAATGCACTCGGTAGCAGATCTCCTCAAAAGTTACACGCTAACAACTCAATGGCTGACCGCACTGTATTATTGCAGCACCGAATGTAATCAGTCCAGGACCAGTCACTTACAGTTCGTCAGTGACACACAATACTGAACCCCTGAGTATGGTGAGTAACTGGCCAGGNAATGTAATCAGTCCAGGACCAGTCACTTACAGTTCGTCAGTGACACACAATACTGAACCCCTGAGTATGGTGAGTAACTGGCCAGGATCCCTTGGCGCTGGATAGGATGATCTGCTGCGGCACAATCAGGAAGCCACCGCTGAAATCTCAAAGGAGACGCTTCTGACGCTACTCCAAGCGCATCCCATTTACGGAGACGGCCTTTACAACAACTTACCTGGGCAGTTTCAGTAATAGTATGTGTGTACTTCATCAGAAAATGAGCCAGTTGAGCTTATAGGACTTAATGTTACAATCCCAATATCCGACACATTCTTGATGTGTTGAATGGGGGTGAGGAAGCTTGTGTCACTTCATTGGGGTCATCAGGTGGGCACCCTGCTTCATCTATGTTTCGTTGATAGCCCCATGACACCTCCATAGGGCTCAATCACAACACCTGGCATCCCATATCCTCTCCCCTCCACTTTTACCCATTTGCTCGTCATTTTGCAGCCCAGTTGGGATCCTTTCTCTTCAGCCAAATCCAGTTACTGCTTCTCTCGGCAGCTTCTGATATTGACCTGCTGCCTAGACAGAAGGCCTGCCCTCGTACTCCCATCTCCTTCACAAGCCTAGTTGTTGCCGTGGCTACAAACCCTCTACACCCTGCCTCTACTGGGACACCTGGGTACTCCAGCCTCGTTGTTCTGCCTCAGCTACTGTGTCTGCACACCTCAGGATTTTGCATTCATACGCAATTGTTGTTCCACTCCCAATTCTGAATTCTCTGTCTCTATAGCTTGTTATTCTGTAGATGAACAAAAAAAATCATTACCCTTACAGGCACTGTAGAACATTGTATAGAAATGTTTTATTATGTACATTTTATTAAGTTCATTTCTGTATTACATATAAAACTGATGTGATTTCCTTTGATGCATGACCCACAATCCGTGGAACAAAGGACTTAAATGCTCTAATGTAAATACTTCCAGGTAGAAGCCAGCATGAACCAAATACTGTAACCCTGCGAGATTCATCCCTTTCTAACTGTATCCCACCAGGGAGTTTAATAAACCTCAGGACGTCAGCGTCTGCTCTATCCCTCTCTAACTGTATCCAACCAGGGAATTTAATATGCCCCCCCAATTGGTCAACTTTAGCCTGTGCCATCTCAATTTGCCAGTCATGTTTATTTAATTCGTCCCACCAGATTTTCTTCTGCGGTGTGTTTGTAGTCGCTTGTGAAAGTGGAGGACGATTGTTGCATGATAGTTACCAACCCTGTCCGCGCTTAGTATAAATAAATTTACCTGATTAGATAGATTACGTGCTTTAGTTCCCTTAAATTAGTCATACACAACCATAAACAACATGCAACAATTTTTGCTTCCCAAATCAAAGTTTGCTACCAGCAGTTCAGTTACAGCTGCTCATAGCTTGAATAACCAAGCTCAAAATAAAAATCTAACTGCCTTCGAACCAAGAGGGCAACTACCGCGGGCTGTTCAGACAGTAACGTTACACCTTCCCTGCCCACTTCACACCAGCGCAGTGCAAGTTGCTTCCCCCTTTGTTTGCAAAGTCAATTTGTTCATGGTCTGGTAATTATCTTTTAATGCTTTTTCTCTTTAAGGAGCCTCCTTCCCCTATATTACTGTTCATGTTACGTTCTGCTCTTATGTTCTTATACCAGTTCATGAGTTTGAGTTCCAACTTTGCCTATACTATGCCAGTAGATAAGACCATGAGAGCAAAAGGTAGAAGTTCATACATAGTCCAAACATAAAATATGAAAATGTCCTTGTACCCCACCTATTTCTCTGGTCACAAGCCCCTACTGCACTGTAGTATAGTCCATTGTGTGAAATGCTGCCCACCAAAAATTTCTAATTGCCCCCCCAACCTGAGCAGTCTAGTCCAGGCCTGATTGGGAGTGGAAAGATGTTTGTGTTTGTCTCATTTCCTGATAAAACACAGATATACTATTACTGAAACTGCCCAGATATGTACTTTCCTCAAAGTGCTAACAACTCAATAGAATCTTGTTCAGTTAATACGAATCAAAAGCCAAATGAAGTTCTGAAGGTAAGCCTCGCTAAATGAGTCCCCCTACAGGCGCAATCGTGTCATTGCATTCGGCTGCGCAGCATTTAAGGTGGACCGGAAAATCCCAAATAAGGAGTTGCGAATGAGGAGCCAACTTCAGCCTCGGCTTTGCTCGCAGGTATGGAAATGTCTGCCAACCGGTATGGAGGGCAGGGGCGCCGCTAGCAATTTTGGGCCCTATGACAAAATATGAGGTTGGGCCCCCCTACGGTAACTTATTATTAATAAAGCAGATCTCTGGGGGGCCCTAAAGGGCGTGGGCCCTTAGAATTGTCCCAACTTTCCCCCCCTTAGCGGCGCCCCTGATGGAGGGTGTTTTGTGACAATATTCTATTAATAAATATGTCATTTAAATGATTATTTAAAATTTTATTCATAAACATGTCATTTAAATGATTACTGAATTACAATTTAAATTTTCATGTAAATGATTTAATTACTTAAATTGTCATTTAAATTATTATTTAAATACTCGTATTGACTGTTCTTTAAATGCTTGTTTAGATGATTTAAATGATGCCAGCAACCATTAAAATGATCTGTCAACGTCACCCATCGAACTCAGTGGGCGGGCTCAAAATAATACCTAACATCTAATTGGTTACATTGCAAACAAAGTCACAACAGATCAATCTTGCGTACTCGATTGAATTGTCATTCATAATTAGTGCTGTAGTTCTCGAGACCGGTCTTGGTCTAGAGACCAATGTTTTGTGGTCTCGGTCTTGTCTTGGTCTCGACTCTATTTGGTCTAAGTCTTGTCTAGGATACAGTCTTGTAGTTCTCGAGACCGGTCTTGATCTCAAGACCAATGTTTTGTGGTCTCGGTCTTGTCTTGGTCTCGATTCTATTTGGTCTCAGTCTAGTCTTGGTCTCGACTCTATTTGATCTCGGTCTTGTCTTGGTCTCGGACATAGCGGTCTCGATGGGATGGGGAAAAAAAGAGAAAACTGCACATCCTCACAGAACAGTATCATTATTTATTACGCGCCTCAATTCAAATGCAACCAGTCAGATGCATCTATTTTAAAAACGTTA